GTCTTCATCAGCAGGGTTCCCTAAGGTCATTGCGAAGTCTTCAGGACTCATGGAATGGTGGTAGCATATCCCAGAAAACAGAGACAGTACATGAGAGAGAGACAGAGACAGAGACAGAGACAGAGACAGAGACAGAGACAGAGAGAAGAGAAGGGAAGGCAAAGAAAAGATAGAAAAAGGAGGGGAGAAAGGAAACAATAAACAAATATAATTAATTTTAATTAAAACAATATTATTTTAAAACAAATTTTAAAATTATCAAAACAAGTCACAAATAAAGGTAATAAAGCAATAAAAAATACTGTAAGTATTAATTTTAAATATTTTTTTCAAAACAATTCACCAAAAATCAAAAGTAATTTTCAAAAAATCACAAAGGAATATTGAAGATTATTTCAAAACTCATACTGTAATTTATAATCCCCTTGTGTCAACAGTCTTGGGGATGTCCACAGTGAAGAGGACATCAGCCAAGTTGTGTGCATTAATTCAACATCTTTTCTTACTTTCTCTATGACATGGTGCATTTCTTTCACATTGTGATGAACAGTTACCAGGGTTTTCTGTCCATTCTTCTTGATCTTCTCCAACATTGTGATTAAGTCCTGATGAAGCAACAATTGCTTTACCGAAGTAATGTTCATCCCAATGGGAGTAGGCAATAGTTTGTGAGTCATGTGTAATTGGATTCTAAAAGGTAATGAGAGATAACTGGGGCTTTATAAGAAAAATCACGTCCTGTAATTTTGGTAAAGTTACAAACACAAAAATTCGAATGATTTTTAGTATCCACTACTACAATTTCCACAAATACAATATCACAAAGAGTTCTAAAACAAGCACACCCTTTGCCTATATATACAAGGACTGTTTCAGAAGTCTCGTTAGGATGAATTTAAAAATGACAGATATTTTGCTCTGTGTCTAGACAAATGTCCTGAGCTATAATTACATCACTTTCATAGATGAACCCTTGTTGTTCTTGGACAATACAAGATTCCAAATTAACAGTTTGCCTTTTCTCACTAATTTGACGGGCCCATTTCCTATGCTTGGAAGGATAGAGAACAGCTCTGCCGTGCTTCAGCTCTTATGCAACAATAGGAAATACCAAATGCACTGAGTCATTATGTGTGGTTAACACAAAATCTGTGGCTGTGTTTTAAATGGGGTGATAAATAAAATTCACCAAGTTCCATCAGGATTGGAATTCTCCTTCAAAATCAGTGGCACTGTCCCAAATTATTTTCCAAATTTCTGTGGGAAAAGTGCCTCCTTCACCTTCTCTTATAATTGAGGCAGCAACTGACTGCATCCATAATTGAGCCTGGATACAGCTGAGAGCCAAAGAAATGTTGTTTTGTGTAACATCGAGTGTGGTCATTTACATTTACCTTTTCCCAATTTGGTAGTATGTTTGACAGCAGACACTGATGCATTTCCAAAACTAATAAGGATGATTGCAGTGGTTGTTGTAATTTGGTCAAGTCTTTAGTTGTGGCAGTCAGTTTATTCAAGTTCAATTAATTTACATGTTATTGTAACACCATCACCTCGTTACTATAAAGGGAAGGAAGAGCATTATTTTTTCTTGCCCAACGTGAGTGTTATCATGGTTTATCAGGTCTCCATGTCCCACGGAGTTCTTCTGTAAAAATAAGCACAACAGAATCTGCCACGAAGAGGCAGAAAAAGTTAGAACGATGGAACTGTCAGAGAGGTTTTTAACCCTAGTGGTACTTCCCCTACAGTAGGGGGGGTCCACCAAAACCAGGTCATCCAGGGTAATGTGCTGGATTCTTGAAATCATCTGGTTCCTGTAATGAAGGAATTATGCTTGGAGCTGTCAGGCAAAAAGCAGTGATTTTAGGACACCCATTTGCGCCCCATCTATCGTAAGGGGTGTGAGAAGTCCATTTAATCCCTTCATCTTTTGCCCAACCCTGCACACCTTTGACAGTAAAGTGAGAAACATAATCAGATTGAAATTCCTGTGGTTTTAGTGGTTTTAGGAAAATTCCAAACCATCCCTGCACTGCTTTAACAGTATTATCTCCTGTAGCTCTTTTAAAAGCATCAGCCTGGACCAACCCAAATATAAACACAGCATAGGACTCAGTGTAAATAGAGACAAGAAAATAATTCTGTCCCTCACATTGGAAAATACTGCAGTTAACAGTTCCTCCACCTGAGCACTGCCCTCTCCCTCTCTGTTAGCAGAAGCAGGGGAGAAGGGAGGGGTTGCTTTAATCATAGAGGCAAGTTTGTCTTGGCTGCTATCCAAGCTCTCAGTTTCTTTTATGGTAAGAATTTTTTTCCACTTCCATGGGCGTTAACCACAGACAACCCCTTTTCCCAGGTAGTGTATCTTTTCTCAGCATCTTTGAAACCACGGGAATAGAAACCAACAGGCCTTGTCGGACCCTCGGGACCCCGCTGCCCAATGTGTACTGATAACCCTAAGGAGGCAAATCCCCATTCCACCTGGAAAGGATCTGTAGGATGGACAGGGTCCAGTGCTTGATGAGCTATTGCTTCAAAAATCAGCAATTGCAATGCTCCTTCCTGAGAAGGAGTCCAATCCCATCTCACCCCTTTCCTGAGCAAATCACAAAGGGGAACAAATGGGTCATTCTGGTTACTAAGAAATCTGTCTGGTGTTTCTACAGGAGATACAGCTACCATGGCTTTTTGAAGGAGAATTCTTGTAGGTTTAAGTGGTCCTGGAAGCCGTTGAATTAAAGGGGTCATCATTTCAGGCCTTACAGGTGATTGCATTGGTGACTCAAAACCAGGAATTAATTTCTTTTCATGTGTCATTTGCAATCAGGCAGCTTTGTGAATGTTTTCCAGGAGTCGGTTGGGGGTACCAGCTATGGTTAAAAGGTCTCCTCTTTCCAAAGGGTTAAGCCCCCCTGCCCAATGAGATGTGCACAGAATTAGGGACCATGGGATACGTCTGTCTCCCGTTGTTAAGAACACCCCGTGTCCCCAGCACCCACCAGCTTCTTGTTCTGACAAAATAATTTTATCTCCCCTGGTGAGAGACACTCAAAACACGTATTCTGTCTCAGATTTGAGAGGGAGAAGCCCGCACTGCTTTGCAAGTTTTGTTAGTTCAGTAGCAGTGTACGGGATTTCTTTGGTGGTTATGTGCGGGTCAAGATCCTCATCACTGATATAGTTACATTCTGTTTTAATTAGAGGTATTATGCTACTGTAACAACAGTGTTCCCCACAATTTTTCATCACAATTTTTCATCAAAATTCTGTTTGAGGGTAGTTTTGATTAATGTGAGGAGTTTCCTTCTCCTCTGTCTCCATACAGGAGTCAGCATTATGTGAATTTTTAACATGTTCCCCTCTCAAAGCAGCCCGTAATAAATTATTTTCATTTCTTTCTTCATCTAATTGTTTTTGCAAAATTTCCACTAGGTTTTGAAGGGAGTCTATTATTGTGTTTTTTCCTCACTTCTTCACTTAAAGCGAGTTTCTATGGCTACTGTGAGACAAGCTCCCAAAACTGAGCAGAGAATGGTTTTGTTTTTGCCCAGTTTAAATTTTGTTTCATGTTGTAAAGAACGTATTCTATCAATAACATTTTCGAAATTAAGCCAGTTGTTCTCTGCCCAAACTTCCACTCCCCCACCCTGTAGAAGGTTTAGTATCATATTTAGCGAGCAGACCATAAAATTGACCTTTAACTTTTGCGCTAAGGTCTTCAGTCATTTTGCGAAGGGACCAAAACCACAATAGGGAGGTACAGAGTTAAATTACACAACCACACAGCCTTCGCTGTGTTTCCTTGAATGGGTGAAGGAACCTAAGCTGCTCAGGAGGTGCTCCTTTAGTACAAAAAATCTGGTTGTCCCTTTGCTACACCAAGCAGTTAAAATTGACACACACAACAAAAACAAAACAACAGAGTGTTCTGCCTTTATCACTAAGAGATCCTTTTGAATTTCTGAAGACAGTGCGGGCGCTTTTTCAAGTAGGCAATGTGCAGTCTGCAGGAAATTTGAATCTCCCCCCTTGCTATCTAGACCATGCTCAGTCTTTTAAACTGGCAGGCTAGGTGCAGCTGAAGAGTAGCGTCCTTCCCCTCTTACAGACTACACAGAACCTGCACCCCTTCTGTCTAGACAGAAATCCTGTCTGTGAAGCCAATTTATGTCACGATCCGCTAGGGCAAGGGAGTCATGATGGTTCATTTCCAGATCCCTGAAGTGCAAAAGACAAACAGCAGGGGACTGTCAGTTTAATCACAGCAAATGCACCTTTATTGAGGGCCAACAGCAAATGCATTAGAGGGATCAGAAAAGGAAATAAAGGATAGAAGGAAAAAGGGGGGAAGGGGAATAGGGGAATATAGCTACCAATGAGATGGAATCCTCATGGTGCAGCCACATAGGTTTGCGTTGTCCATGGGGGATCATGGAAGTTGTCTCAAAAGTTAGTTTATATAGTCTCAAACCAAAGCAAGTGGCATCTGGCCAAAAGGTGGGGAAGATTCATGGGGCATTGTGTTGAGACTCCTTGGTCTGTGAGGCAGGTATGAGTGTGCAACGACAAGCCACCACTCGTCAGAACCTGTTCGAAGCAGTGTTCTGTGAAAGCACAGCAAGCACATCTGCAAACAATCACTTGGCAAAACATCCACCTCAGCCAGGCCAGAGCTCCTGTCAGGGGTCTTCAGGGCCCTTGCGACGATTGTGAGGCAAATGAAGAAAACTTCGGACCATCTCTTACAGTCCCAGTTTGCCTGCCCCGTGTTCCCAGTTGTGTTCCAATGTCCCCAGTTCCATCCCAGTGTCACCAGCCCTGTGTCCCCAGTGTCTCCATCCCACCCAGGGTTTTCAAGGGGAAATATCTCAGTGACAGCACCTTGAAGCAGCTCCCTGGCTGTCCTCCCCTCAAGGAACGTTGGGATGGCTTTATTGACCACTCGTCTCTCACTGGGGTCAGGTAATGTGTCTGACAGAGTTCAGATCAGCCCGCTCTGATTTACATAGAGGGTATTTATTTATTTATAGGCTGTACGGTGCACACATGAACTGATAGATTATATTGCATCAACGAGCAGCTACACGGAATCATCGATAATCAATATCAGTATCAAATACCATATCAAATTGCTGGTGATTAGTAACAAAGTGCAAAAGGAATACAAAAGTGCAAAAGGCAATACAAAAGTGCAAAAGCCAGTTATTAAGTTGTCATTTATAACCCATCTCTGCTGCAGACACAGTGGAAAGCTGGAAGCTCTTGAGGGGACTCATTCAGCCCTGTCCCCTGTCCCTGTGTGTTCCCAGAATGTCCCTGTCTGCCCCTGAGTGTCCCCAGTGACATTACCCCAAAAATTCCCAATTTCAATGAAAATTCTCAGAAAATTCCCCAAATTTGTCTCAAATCCCACAAGGGGAGGGGGGAAAGGACAAGTGACGACAGCCATGTCCCCGATGACATCACTGCCCTGATGACATCATCACATTGGTGACATCGCCATCCCTGCAGCAGATTTGGGATGTCCTTGGCGGCTCTTTGGCATCGCTTGGCCACCACTCAGGCAATGGAGCCATTGGGATCACCACACCTGAAGCTGGTGCAGATCTTCTCAAGCGCCCCCACCAGGTAATCCCTGGCCACTTGGCTGCTGGCCACCCACAGCAGCTCGGCCACAGCCACCTTGGCTGCCAAGGCAGCGTGGAAATCATGGGACGGCTCCTCTGCCCCCTTCATGGTGCCTACGATCTCCCCAACCCTGCGCCGCAGCTCCCGATAGAACGCGGTGACTTTCCTGCACGCGGTCACCAGGCGCGTCAGCAGCCCCAGGGCCACCTTCGCCTGCTGCCTTCCCGTGGTGACCCCCCTCACCTGGTGTTCAGCCACCACGGTTCCTCCCACACCCTCTCCTACGTCATAGTCTATGACACCTTCTAAGGCCTCTCTTATGGCCCCCACCATGGCCTCTTTTATGGCCTTTCTCAAGACTTCTTCCATGGCCACAACACTGAGGTCCACGTGCCTGCAGGCGTCCTGGAGCTTGGTGACCTCCCTGGTCAGCTGGGCCCAGCTGTCGACGAGCGTGGCCGCTGACTCCAGCCACTTGCTGGCCACGCTTCTCACGTGCTCCCAGGTGGTCCATGAGGTGCTCGCGTAGGCTGCCAGGGCCTGGCTCAGGGAGGGGACAGTGCTATCGCACCCAGAGGTGACACCGCGGTGCCAGAAGATGTCACCAGTGTCGTGCACGGTGACACTGAGGTTTTTGGTGAACTTCCTCAGGGCCTCGTGCAGGGATGGTTGGCACATGGGCAGCAGCACATCCCCATCCATCCTGGCTGTGATGGCCACCAGCTTGTCCAGGGTGGCCACCATGGTGGCCTGTGGCTGCAGCAGGGCTGGGGACATCTGCAGAGGAGACAGGGGAGGTGTCAGGGACCTCGTGGGGGGGCCCTGCCCCCGAGGGGCTCCCTGTATCCCCTCCATCCCTCTTGTTCCCTCTGCCACCCCCTGCCCCCACTGCTGTCCTCTCTGCCACCCCCTACTCTCGGGATCTCCTCTGGTCTGGTCGGTGTGATTGGGAAGATCCCGAGGTGTGTCTCTGTTAAAAGTCTCTTTTCCTCAACCCAGCAGCCAAAGAAGGAGTCGAGAAGTCTTCGGCTGTCGTTGTCAAGGTTGTTTACTATTTCTTTATCTCAAACATGCCACTCCCTGTGTCCCCCTCTATCCCCCCCTGCCCCCTCCCCCCGTGTCCCCTCCCCCCTTCCTGCCACTCCCTCCTGTCCCCTTTTGTTGCGGTGTGTTGTCATGGTGTGCCTCAGTTTCCCCAGTCCTTCCCCTGAAATTTCCTTCCCCAGGTGGGGTGTCAATCACCCCTCTTTCCCCCACCCTTGACCCCTGCTGCCTATCAACCCAGAAATTCCAAGGGAAGCGTCGAGTGATTGGCAGGCTCAAAGGATGCTCCCCACCCCTGGGGGGCCATTGGCCCATCCAGGTGTCCCTCTCACCTGAGACCCCCTCCCCTCATACCTGGCTGGTGGTCTCTGTGTTCCCTCCCCTCGCCCTCTCCCCAGGTAAAAGGGCAAGCACACCACGCAGTTGGGAGTTCTGTTGGAGCTGTTGCAGGATTCAGAGGCCATGCGTACCAGAATAAATACTCTGGATTAAAAACTCTCCATCAGGACCCACTCCTTCCTTCACCTTGCCTTAAAGGTTTCTCCAGCTCAGGGAGGCCTGAGGAGTGACTCCCCTTCAACAGCAAGTTCCAGCTGTAAGCACTGGAGCTCGGGATGTGCCTGGACTTATCCCCACGTGCTCACAGCTAGCCAGAGCATCTCTGGGGAGAAAACACCACAGGTGCCGCGATCGACACCTGGGGACACTGGGGACACCTTGGGGACACCTTGGGGACACCTTGGAGACACCTTGGGGACGGTCTGGGGGTCGAAGGAGCCTTGGGATGTCCTCGATGGCTCTTTGGCACCGCTCGGCCACCTCACAGGGGCTGGCAGGACCACCGTTGAACAAGAAGTCGATGATGTCTTGAAGTGTCCCCAGCAGGTGATCCTTGGCCAGGCGGGCGTTGGCCTCCCACAGCCGCTCGGCCTCGGCCACCTTGGCCACCAAGTCCTCGGGGACATTGGGGGACGCCTCATCTATCCCCTCCAGGGCGGCCTTGATGTCCCCAACCCTGCGCTGCAGCTCCTGGAGAAACGCCGTGGCTTCGTCACACGCGGCCACCAAGCGCTCCAGCAGCCCCAGGGCCGCCTCCGCCCGCTGTCTCACCATGGTGGCCCTTGTTGCCCGGCTGGCAGCCACCATGGCATCTATCCTCACCTGGGCTTCATGTTCGCCTCCCACCTCGGCCCCCTCCTGCCTGCCCAGGGACTGAACCAGCTCCAGCATGTTTTCCTGAGCTGTCCCATCACGGGCAGCCTCGTCCTGCAGCTCCCTGGCCCGGGCAGTGGCAGTGGCCACCCTGTCGGCCGCCTCAGTGACCACCTCCCTGCAGACACTGCAGAGCTTGGTGGCTGCCCTGGCCAGCTGGGCCCAGCTGTCCACTCGCTTATCCACTGTCCCCTGCCAGTGCCAGGCCTCCATTGTCACATGGAACCAGGGGGTCCATGGGGTGCTCCTGTAGGCGGCCAGGGCCTGGCTCAGGGAGGCGGGAGGGACTTTGCTATCGGAGGTGACATTGCGGTGCCACCAGGTGTCATCCATGCACTTCACGGTGGCCCGCAGCTTCGTGGTGAAGTCCTCCAGATCCCAGTACAGGCACCTTAGAGACTTGAGCAGCGTCTCCTCGTTCCGCCTGGGCAGGGTGGCCAGCAGCTCGCCCAGGGTGGCCACCACGGTGACCTGTGGCTGCAGCAGGGCTGGGGACAGCTGGGGAGGGGACAGGGGAGGTGTCAGGGACCTGGTGGCACTTGTGGCCTCCTGCCCCCGAGCGGCCCCCTTTGTTCCTCCGTCCCTTTGTCAGCCCCTTGTCCCCTCCGCCACCCCCTGCCCCTCTCCTCATCGCCCCTCACGCTCCCCGCGCCTCTGCCGTCCCCTCTGCCACCCCCCTCTCCCACTGCTGTCCCCTCTGCCACCCCCCGCCAGCCCTCGTGTCCCCTCCCGTCCGGTCGCACCTCTTCGAGCTCCATGTTCACTCTGGGCACCTTGGGGACGCTCCGCTGGCGAAGGATCCCCGGGCCAAGCGCCGGTCCCGGCCCAGAACCGGCCCGACCGGCGGCGCGCGCGGAAATGGCAGCGCCGCCTCAGTGCGGGCGGGAAAGGGGCGGGGCGTTGACGTCACCCCCTGGCCCCGCCCCCCACCGTTACCGCCCCCATCCATGGGAAACACCGGGCTGGATTTCGGTGCTTTTTAGGCTCAATACCTGGGGATTTAGGCTCAGTCCTAGTGGATTTAGGTTCTATCCCGCCGGGGCCGGGGGGAGCGGGGCGGGAATTTGGGGGCGCCGAGGGAGCCCCGGGACCCCTCCGGCCGCGCGGGATGGGCGGCAGCGACCGCGGCCAGCACCGGGAGCGGGGAGCGGTGAGGAGGGGCTTTGGGAGGCTCCTGAGGGAGAACTGGGGAGTCCTGAGGGGATTTGGGGGAATTGTGAGGGTGTTTAGGGCCGCCGAGGGGATGTGAGGGGGTTTAGGGGGATGTGAGGGAGAACTGGGGGGCCTGAGGGGATTTGGGGGGTCCTGAGGGGGTTTTGGGGCGTCCCGGGGGTCTCTGTGACCGGGGGGGTTTGGGGGGGTCCGGAGGGAGAATGGGGGGTTCTGAGGGGGTTTGGGGTGTCCTGAGGGGATTTGGAGGGTCTTGAGGGGATTTGGAGTGTCCTGAGGGGATTTGGGGTGTCCTGAGGGGGTTTGGGGGATGTGAGGGAGAATGGGGCGTCCTGAGGGGGTTTGGGGATTCTGAGGGGGTTTGGGAGATCCTGAGGGAGGAAATGGGGGCCCTGAGGGCATGTGAGGGGGCTTGTGGTTCCTGAGGGAGAATTGGGGGTTCTGAGAGAGAATTGGGTAGATCTGAGTGGATCTGGGTGGGTCTTGAGGGGATTTGTGGGTCCTGAGAGGTTTGGAGGGGTCCTGATGGAGGTTTGGGGGCGCTGAGAGGGTGTGAGGGTATTTTTGGGGGATCTGATGGAGAACTGGGGCTCCTGAAGGGGTTTGGGGTGGATTTTGGGGGGTTCTGAAGGAGAAATGAG